TTCTGCCTGTTCTTAATCACACAGCAGGACAGGCAGATGGATTTCTGAGCATCCTGAAGACCTACTCTTCATGTTTCTAAGCTTCTGAATGTGTCTCCAAAGGACTTTCTAAGGACTATAGCACCTACCAGATATTTAAATACAATCAAGAACATTAAGAAGTGTCCAAGTTTTTAATCAGCCGCCTCCTCCAAAGCAGATTCCAGCGAGACCTACTGCTTTTGTTGACCTGTAGAAACTGTTTGAGATAGAAAAGACAAAAAACCAAACAGATCCCAATAAGCTACAAGCTATTTGAATTCAAGACTGCCATCATCAGCACGAAGCTTTCATGTCCCACATAAAACTGGGAAGATTTAAGAGATGACAAAGCCCACCTGGTCGAGACTGCGGGTGCTGCTACCACACTGCAAAAAGCTCCAGTGTGGAGAGCTGGGCTGCCTGGCAGATGTGGCTCTTCTGCAGCAGCCAACAGCAAACCAGCAGGTGTGGGCAGAAAAGGAGGAGAAAACCATCACGGCAAGTGAAAGGATCCGAGTCCAAGAAAATACAAAAATATTAAATAGAAAGCGATCCTGGCAATCCAGAGTGAGAAATTCAGTAAGAAAGAACTGTAAGAAATTATGGATAAGAATTTAGGAGTGATGGGCAAAGAACGGAGCAGCATTTCAATAAATAAAGCTACAAAAAAGGCCAATGCCTTCAGAAGCTGCATCCACAGAGGTATCGTAACAGAACAGGAACGTAGCTGCTCGCTTAATGGCTCAGGTGAAACCACACTTGGAAAGCATTCATCCAGCCCCGGTCATGGCATGAATACAGAAACAGCACATCGTGACAAGGAAAACGGAGATGCAGTTTTGGGAACAGGCTGGGAAAAACGAGCATTTAGAGCTTTTGCTCTGCTAAGGACTAAAGGGGACGTAACTGCAAAAGCATCAGGGAGCTGCAAACTGCAGCTGACACCGCTTAGGGCAATACAAACCAAGTTATGGAACAGCAGTTGTAAATTAAGAATAAATATTATCAGACATTTTAAATAGTATATAGAGAGAAAATCAGGGAATTCTCTCATTTTCCTGCACTGGATGTTCTTCTATGGTTACATTTTGGATTAATTCATAGAACCCGTTTTCCTTTTTCTCTCCCATTTTCATTATTCACGGTTAGCTCACTGTTAAAAACTAGAAAACATTTGGACATTATTTTGACCACTGAAGAATGACGCTGTCATTTCAGAATTGTGATGATGTAGTTAAGGCTATATTCAATTATTCCAAGGAAACAGCCTGCAGGTCAGTTTTATTATCAAAAAATGTCTTGAAAGAATTCTAAAGCTACAAAAAATACGCAGTTGGGTATTTAAAATCTGATTAAGTTAGCCCTTATTCAGGAGAGTGTTTTTCTCCTTCAGAAACTCGTTCTCCTGTGCTTGTTTTGACTTCATCATCTGCAAATAAGTATAACCAAAGCAAGTAAGGTGGCTGGCTTTTATGCCACCTGCTGACTTATCTGTGTTGATCCCTGCAATGCATCACCAGCTCCAACTCCTGCAGTGCTGAAATCAACAGGACTCGTACAAATGCCACTGAAATCCATGAATCCATCAGAGCTTGCATTGGAAAAATCAGATTACAGGAGGAGGACCTCTGAATTTAAGTGCCCAAATCTATGTCAACACACTTCTGTGAACACTCTACAATAACACATTACAGGGTCAGGACTGAACACCAGGCTCCTGTGAAAAAAAGGGCAGAAAAATGGCTATTCGACATTTTGCAAGTTACTCCAAGGGACATTTTTATACCTTAGAAATAAAAGTACATTTATATTATGAACCCCAAAAGAAGCTATCATGTAGAAAGTGACAGTGCTCAAACTGGGTTAAGGCCCTTCTAGTGCAGCAGAGCTGTCCTGTCTGCAGCGGAGGGCAAATCTCAGCATAAATGAAGATATTAACATGACAATCCCCAAAGAGCAACAGAAGCAAGGTGTAATGAGCACCCTGGAGCCCTATGGAGAGCATATATAGGGCATGTTGCTGCTGCTGCTGCACAGCGATCCTTCCTGCACTGGTGCAGACTGATTCTAGCTGCAAGCCAGAAGCGCACTGAGCTTTAAAGAGCTTTTGCGGCTGTCTTGCCCTTTCAAGTGGGACAGAAATCATGCAGAAGGATGCAGCTGTGTTTCTTCCACCTAGCTTTCTGTTTCTTGTAGTACCAGTGCACAGCACAATACAGTGGTATTTACAAGATGGTTCCTACTTCTCCCCCAGAAAGCCTCTTCTGTCTTGCTCTAGAGAGAAGGCAGGTTTAGACTTTATTCTCAAGACCTTATGGCTGCGAGAAAAGTGGTATCATGAACATGATGGAGAGCACAGGAGGTAAGACAGGGAGCCAAAATTACTGTTGTCCTGATTACAGTGTGCTGGAGCAGGGCCACAAATGGGACACTCTCACACACCTGCCTTAAGAAACACGACGTCAGCACCAGCATCTCACCTTCCTAAAACTTCAGGTGTGCGCCTTGCACCACAGGGGTGAATTTGCTTTCAATGAGGATTTGCAAGTGTGGACTGACAAGGTTTAACTAAAATATTTAAACACTTAATTGGTTATTCTGCACATTTCCCAATGTGCCACTTCTTCCTCCAGTTTATGAAGTTAAGTCTTTAACTTTCCTTTGAAGTTAAATTCACTACATTGAAGGTCTCGCTGCAATGCCTAAAACACACCACCACCAACGCTGAGCCACTTTGCCTTGCCATATTTTATCAGCCTATTCCTCTCTGGCAAAAGACTCGGAGGTAGACAAAATTTATTGAAATAAAAAATGAAGTAAATTGCTACAGCAGCCAATTTTTCCCATTAACTTTGGCAGAATGGCTAATTGCATTCTCTCCTGGAACTTAAGAAGCATACAGAAAATGTTGGAACTGTAAGTGCTTTTTGATTACACACATGCTAAAACACACAAGACAGGCACAACAAAGTGGCCGAGAAGGCATAGTAACAATTACTGTAACAGAATTTTCTCATGACATCTGAAGTAGTTTCACTCTGAGAAAAAAATATGAAATGTCACTGTGGAATTCAACTTCTCTCTGGCTCAATTTCCACAAGATACACTTGCTTTGAAATCAGGGAACTTAAATTTTTAGAGCTGGTAGATAGCAGGGAAAATAATCTGAAAAATTCCAAGTCAAGCGGAGTCCTGTTCTGCTTGTGCATTACCACAAAATCAGGTCCTGCGTGGCAAACAGCTTTGACTGAACCCTGTGCAATCTCATCACTATCAATGGGACAACACAGGTGTAGGTGACCAAGTCTGTGACTAAAACTTGGTACATTCACTGATACACAAACAGTAACCAAATTCCTGTTATATATGGCTGTACTAATCCTTTCAGCACTAACAGCAGCAAGTGTTAAAAGCTTATTTTAGTCACTAAGCAACCACAGTCCAAACATACAAAAGGGAGAAATTCTGCTTAGTAAGGTTATGGATTTCCCCCTAGGTCAAACTACACATTAACCACCATATAACATCACCTATGAATTCTCAGTTTCTACGTATGTGATGTTACACTGCCAGGAATATGAGTAGTTGCTTCACTATTCATTGGCTCATTTTATGGAAGACCAGAGATTCCCTAGGAACTGCTCTAAACCGAACGCAGGACTGAAATTAGTGATGGGGGAATTAAATCTTTAGGCACTTTGAGGACTGCTATTTTAAGTGTGCCATCAACCATGAGGTACCATGTATCGCCTGAAGACGACTACTGCCAAAATGCCGTGACAGTAACATGCATATGAAACTTTTTGCCTGTACAGTATTTGTGAAGTACATTTCAAAATGGTTTTGCCCAGAGTGAAGAAAGCATTGCACCTTTTGCTGTAGCTATTCCCTTTAAAAGCAGCAGCTGCAACAAACAATAGAGGCTTTCCTCCTTCAAAGTCACAAAGGTGCACAACATTCTCAATCTGCCGCCCAAAAACAAGGGCCACTGCAGTCACCGTCAGCTCAGGGACAGCGGTGGGTACGACTGAAGAGAGTCACAGCCTTAAAGTGTCACAGGTTTGACGTGTCTCTACAATCATTGCACTATCAAAAGCAAACACATTTGGCAAGGCTGAACTAGGACATCATATATTTTACCTATAGAGTAAAAAATACATAACCATCTCTGAGATAGCTTGTTTAACAATTACTGGTCCAAATAAATACGAACTATTTCAACTCGAATACTCAGGGCAGAATTTCTGAGTTAAAACCTCCAACAAGCATTCCCAAACGTAAATAGGAACACTTTACTCAAATTTACGAAGTCCAGGTAAAATGGTATTACTAAAAAACTATGAAAAAATCTGAAATAACTTGAGCACTCATGAAAACATGGAAGCATAAAAGTGATCATCGCTACACAGCATATTCAAAAAAATCTTCTGTGCCCCTTCCTTATATTACTAAACGCATAGGACTGCACTTGCGACCAAATTCTCCTTTGTTCACTTCAAAACTACAAACCTTTAATTTGACAAGCAGCTCTGTTTCTATCAACTTATTTGTAAAAAACACCATCAAGCTTGTGCTCATTAAATATATATGTATATATAAAAACATACAAAAAGTACAAGATAAATCACATTAAGAAACTTTTACAGTGTAATTGTCCTGATTATTTTATTCTTAAGGGCAAATTTTTGTTGTGCACAGAATTCTCAATGTGACTTGTTCCAGAATTCAGCATAATGCCACTGCACAGAATTCACCTTTCTGTGCAAACTGTTAAAAAAACCCCAAAAAAACAACACACACCACAGGACAAAACAGTCTTCTTAAATCAAATTCTATTTGTGAATTCAGCAAAATAATTTCTATAAAATAAAACAGCAAAATATTTAAATAGTATAGGGCGGGCTGTATCTGTTTTGCAGGGGTATTTGGTTTTTAGACAGGTTCCAAAAAATTACACACATTCAAGTTACCAATTTTCATTTAAATACAGTATTTACTGATGCGTTTCTCGAAGTCTTTAAACAAATGTTTATTCTGGAATAGAGATACCTCAGAATCGTATTTGACTAACCAGTAGTTTCTTTTATAATTAAACCCTGCTTCTAAAGTAAGATTTCCTGTATAATGGATAAAGAGCTAAGACAATTCTCGCTTTCAAGTAGAACTGTGAACGAGCAGAAAACCAGCAAGTTAACTTGGTGCAGTGGCACTCACAAGTACTGTGTGATGTTGTTGACTTCCGCTTCACTGGGATGCAGTAGAAGGAAAGTGTTAGAAGTTTATCTAATAAGCTCTACCAAAGAAACAAAACAAGCACACCAAATACAGTCTATTATGCTCCAGGCATCCTGGCATAGCAAATTTTTGCATATTTGTTTTAAATCTTTTAAATTTCTATTACTGAAAACTAAGTGTTCTTTATCCCACCCAGAGACAGAACTGTCAAACATCAGGTGCGAGGAACAGATGTGAAACTGAAAACCACTTGTTTGTCACATTTTCCCTCCCCATTTTATAATCTAGGTGTAAGAAAAAGAGTTCTGAGCGATAGAGTTGTCACATTGGGACAACTGCTGTCACACTTCTTCCCCCCTCGTTGGCTACACTAACTTGGTGTGAAGCCATGCTAAATGTTACAGCATAACTATAGCTTCAAAGTGATTAACCTAATACCAGAATGAAAAAGGCAATGAAAAAAATCTAGAAACAATGTTACATCACCAATTTTCCACATCAACCAAATAATTAGAAGGTTACCAGCCATTACGTTGCTCATAGTAAAATCGACTCCAGTGGCAAAGAATTAACATGAAACTATTTTTGTGGTTGACATGGATAGGCTTTTTCGTAAAGGAGTTGATCCGACTGCCGTGAGGCAGGCAACACTGGTCGCAGAGCGCAGCAGATATATCAAGAAATTATTTTTTTGTTTTTTTTTTGTAGATCTGTGAGTCTCATCAAGACAAAAAAAATGTTTCCTGCTCAAGAATTAACAGTCAAACATTAATATACTATATACACCTTTGCCATTTACACATTAGCATCAGGCCATTTATTACAAAACACTATACACTTTCCACTGCAGGCGGGTTATATATTGACAGCAATTTTCTGCAGATAAGACAGTGAATAGACTCTCCACTCCATGTTGATTAGGAATAGTTTTTCTAGTTTTAAATATTAGCCAGACACAGAGAAAGGTTGGACTGTAAGGCCTGGGTGCACAGTCTTGATGGAGCAATTTAATTGATTATGTGCATTTCACTAATCTTTTGTCTGAGGTGGGGAAACTTCTTCACTGCCTTCATAGTTTTCTTGTGCTCGTTGGCCAGTTCGCTGAGGGTTGTTCATATGATGTGCTGCCGGGCCTGTATATGGCTGTCCATGCACGTGGTTATTCTGTAATAAAGCACAAACATTTTACAGGACATTAAACCTCTGCGCTGTTTCCTGACCTGTTGCTTGCTTTTCCCCTTCACATTCAGACTATTGAAAAGTATCCTCAAGCACACTGAGCTTCTCATGTAGTAGTATCTATATGAACACACATCAGTTTCTTCATTCCTCTGAATCACACCTTTCACTTACCTTTTTAATTTACACAGAAGGTAAACAAACTTTCAGCTTGTAAAGAGAAAAGGATTAGTTAAAATAGTAATCTCAGCTTTTGAATAACAAACATCTACATGCAAAGCAAAAGCAGTAAGAAAGGAAAAAAAAGGAGACGAAAAAAGGCTGCCTGTGTACTGCAGACATTAAACTGTGCACATGTTTTGTCAAGATTCAACCAGACTTTTTTTTTTCCAGAGACAATGGAAAAAACCATACCTGTATTTATGCAGCATACATCAACTTTTAAGGAAAACTTTAATGTTACAGAGCTGAATGAAATCCAGACCAGTAGTTTCTGCAGATGTTCTGCCTCAATTTAAAAAAAGTAACACACACACCTGGCAAATGTAAACATCTTATCTACTGTTTTGCAGAGTTTAACCAACTGTAGAGAAATTAGGAATATGAAGACTGTGCGTGTTAGTGAGAAATGCCATCTCTTGCAAGAAAGTGAACACATCACACAGGTAATGGTGAGGTTACGGCATGTGTCTGAACTCAGGAGCTCAGAAAGGAGTGGGAAAATCTGCATGACTTACCAACTGCTCTGCTGAGAACACCAAGTAAGGAAAGCGAGATGGAGGGAAATGGGTTTGGGCAGGAAAGGAAATTGAATTAGCAGATTTGGAATATATAAAATTAATTGGAACAAAAAATGGCAACCAAGTGGGGGATCTACTAATTTAGTCAATTCAACAAAAAACCTGGTTATGATTTCTTTCAGATCTGGCTTTCCACTGGAAGATATTCACAAAGCAGCCATTTAACAGAAAAACAGATTTAGATTTGGTATGTAACTAAGATTTAGAAATCAGTGTTCATAACACAAGTTACATCTAACAAAGCCGTTTTTCTGAAAGCCTTCCAATTACCCCAGCTGAAATTTAGGCCTTGAGGCTTTGTTTTGTATTTAAAAACAAGAAAGCAACTCACAAAATATCGTAAATGCCAGCAAGTATGTCAGAAGCAAATTCAGTATGCACTAAACTGCGATGACATCCGTACCTTTGCTCTTTCTATGAATGACTGATCCCTGATCTGGTAACATTAAAATTCTCACCTGAAACTCTGATGGTGAAACTGTTCCTGGTAAAAGAGAGGTGCATTTCCATTCCTTTAAGTGTGATATTTGACAATAACATGCTACTGGCTAAATACCTATAATTTAAGTCACCATAAAGGCTAAAAAAGCTAACCTGGAACTCTGGACAAATTGTTCAACTCAATTCCAAGCTTTTACCTGTTGATACTGGGAACCAGGTGAGTGGGGATACAGTGGGGCATCTTCAGGTGGAGAAGATTCATGTTCATCTGGGGCATCAGGATCATCTGGTTCCTGAAGTTTGAAAAAAACACTTAATTTACTTAGGTAAAACATTACAATTATTCTATCCAGAATCAATCCTACAGGCAAGTGATTGTTTCAGACATGCTTGGAGAAAAATTCCACCCCGTGTCACCCATAGCTTGTACTGTTACTATTTAAAAGGCCCACTATCAATGTACTATTGGAAAAACAGATCTATTCATAATCTACTTTAAATGGTCAATTTCAATTCTATACTGCTAATTCTTTAAGTGACAGATTTCTATAGAAACAGTAATAGAGGTGTAAAAATACACAGAAGCATGTAACCAAACCCACAAAAACTGAAATAGATACTTATAAAAATACCTATAAAATGCATTACCTCTATGACAACTAGAGAAAACACAGCTAAGGTTAATTCTTTATAGAAACACTGTACTGAAATTTTTTACCAAGAGTCAAATTCCTTACCTCCTCTGGGCAGAGTTCACAAGCTTTTGCAAGAGTCATTCTGGCGCTGTGTGATCTCTCTAGGAAGTAGCCATTTGACGTTTCATTGCTTTGTATTGGTGGAGACCAATTATTATAGGTGTACTGAGGATTGCCAGTGTACGGTCTACGCTCCAGCTCGTCTCCAAGCCATTCTACTGCCCAGGTCCATTTTCTCTTCAAATCTCCATTGCTCTGCAGATGGAAAATTAACAATTCACAATTATCCTCCCTATTTTTCAAAACAGAAATGTAATTTTTTTCCCTTCCTACACATGAGCGATCAAGAGAGCAGACCATCAACATACCTGCTGCTGTTTAAAAGACTCCCTGAAATACCCGTTTTTGCACAAAGAAAACTTCCAATCTGAAACGGATTTTCAAATTCATTCAGCTGCAGATTAGCAGCTGCTTCACAGAACCATGAGTGCAAGTTTAACCAAATTGCTTTCAATCCCAATATATTAACCTTCTGATATAGAAAGGTTCAAATGAGTTGTACTTGGAAACTAATTTCATCAAGGTGATGAAAACTCAGTAATGGTGGAGGTGGTTTGGGGTTCTTTGTGTGTGTTTTTGTTTTTTTTAAAACACAGAACTGGGAAAGAAGCAGCAAGAAACAGAATGAAAGGTATCACCTGAAGGATCTGGTAGGCTACAGGACAGTTGCTGAAGAGAGCTACCATGCACTTTATACACTGGTAAGCTCTCTTCTGATAATGATTCTTAGAGCGCTGAATGGTGTCAAATAGTCCATCCCTGTCATCTGGGATTCCCTTAAGCGCGTTGTGAATCCTAAAAACAAAACAACAAATAACAAAACAAAAACTTCAAGTGTCAGAGTTTTAGCATCTGAATTAAGGTTTCAACTACAGTGCAATTATAAAAGCGACAGCTCAGATTCTGACTTCTGGTTTTAGTAAAGAGCTTTTTTTTTAATCAGAAAACTAACTTGACACGTCACATGTGTAATTTATAACTTTAGCACATTTGGTAATATTTAAACTCTCTGAATGAGATACATGAAACATATAAGTATGATTAATTCTAATAACAGCAACCAACTTCAACTGGTTAATTTTTATTACTTAGTTTTTAAATCAACTGCATTTACAAAATAGATCTGTTAACCCAATGGGTCCTTACAGAACTGGAACAGTTAAATCCTCAACAGAAGGGTTACTTACATTACAGTTACGCTTCTCAAAGGTACACTCTTCGCATATGTATGCAAGACTGAAAAGCCTATGTATGAAGGGTACTCTCACCCCTTACCTAAGGTGTAATTCCTATACAGAAAATGAAGAAACCCCTCCAACTCAGTCTTTGTGTTCTGGAGCATGGTAAGCCAGCTCACCATCTTCTCCTAGAGTATCTTCTGAAGTAAGGCCAGGCAACTGATAAAATTCCAAGAGCACTGCCTGCTTCTACATGTTAAGTACATGAATTTATCCCAACATCCTTATTGCGTAAGTGTGCTCTTACTCAAAGTATTTTAAATGTCATGTGAGACATGGCTGCAAATGATTCAGGAAATCCAATACAACCTATACTCCCTTATTATGGAAAAGTGACATTTAAAAAAAATTGACAGGTAGCACGTTGATTATATTTATTTTGTGTTACCTCACCTACTACTACATAAAACTTCTGAGGAATTTACTATTCTCTCAAACAGTACTTGCAATAATTACATTCTTTTAAATCTCAAATTTCAAAGCCTTATTCTGTAGACATATGAAAATTAGGTTTGAATCTGGATGAATATTTTATGTTTTGAAGTTAAAATTCTACTGAAATGTGATCACATCGAGAATATTTATTTATGAAAAAAGCTTTTCTCCCAAGTTCACACTTTATCCATGTCCTTGTATCACTACTAAGACTGATAACCTGGTCTTACCAAGAAGTACATCACTGGACCCTCTTGAATGAGATGCTTCTAAGAATCAATCTAAGCACCTCACAGTAAACGGTACAAGTTTAGCCTAAATGGCACATTCTTTTCTATGTGAAAAATCGTGGATTTATAGGACTAAGTAGCAAATTTCTCAACAGTAAGGAAGGTAAAGGTGAAAACCTGTAGCTTTGTCTCAAAAATTGCAATAAAAGTGGAGAAAAAAGCTTTATTCCTGTATTTTCATTTAGCACTTATTTAAAACGCCCTTGAAAAGATTAGCAACAGAACCACTGGGAAAACAAGCCATACAAAACGTAATAATCTTGGACTAAAAAAAAACAGGTCAATACTAACCTGTGAGTTTGCCAAGAGTCCTCAATTAATAGGATTTGCAGAAGCAGATCCAAATAAGGTCGAAGCTCGTATGTATATGAATATGCAACCTTAAAAAGTAAGAATGAAGAGAACATTCCTTGAAGCATACAGATTACATGGTGCAAAACAAGAACACAATTCATTTGAAGTGAAGTTTACTGTAACTTAAAGCATATTTCAAGACACAATGCGTACTTTTTAAAAAAAAAAAGTTGATTGTGTCAGAGTTTTGGGGGGGGGATTCTGTTTTGTTGGGGTCTTGTTTTGTTTTTTTAATATAGTAGGTTTTGGAAAGCAGAAAATGTTTCCTCATGAGTTTCTAACACGATTGATCCGAAGCCCCAAGGCAAAAGATGCTGAAGAAGCTACCTTAAAAATACCTTTAGAAAAGCAAAATTACAAAACCATTTTTCACGGATATTGCTGCTTTCAGACAATACATTCAAAGGTTATCCTAAAATGTAAAATACATGGCTAGCAAAATATCCATAAAGTGATTTTTATTATGATTCTTAGTAAAGTTTTATTTGGAGTGAAAAAGTGAACTTTTACACAGGGATTACAAAGGAAAAACAAGACAGTCCCAAAGACTCCTTCCCAAGTGTGATACCCAGTACGTTCTGCAGGCGTGCAAAAAAGCACCTTATGAACATACTCAAATTAAATACGAGAGAGATCTTAGGAAGTGATTTTAACTTTCCATGCAATGTAAGAAGGTCTTTCATTGATAATGACAGAAAAGCTGAAGGAAATGCTCTTGCAATATATAAAAAGCATCTCAGTCTACTTATTTTCCATCCTTAACATAGCATTCCTAACTCATAAAAGGTCAGTTGCTCTCCTAAACTCATAAAAGGACTCCTCATAATCCTCCAACATGATGTATAGACCTAAGAGTGTAAATACAGACAGTGGATGCCACCTTAAGGAAAGTTTATTTATCAAGCACCTGTTCAGTATTTAACCCAACATTCCTATATATAAATATAGAATCGTACATCATACACATTTATATTCTCTTAGCTTTCTACTCTTACCTGCCAAAGTAGTTCACTCAGGACAGTGGAAGAGAACTGAGGATTCTCCCAACAGCAGAAACGAAGCAACTTGATGGTCTCTTCAGAGTTGCTGCAATCTTCAATGATTTTCTTCACGTAGCTAGTTCTCACAAACAGAATGTCTGCTACATTCTGCTGAAGTGCCATTATAGGCTGAGATAAATTAGGATCCCCGTAAGGGTTCGTAAGTGGCGGATTACCTAGAACAAGCAGTTATTACAGATGAAAAGGTACTGAAGTACTTTCAGTGTAGACACAACAAAATACAAATTGGTGCATCTCATCAAAAAAACAACAGATGGAAAAACGCAACCCCTCCCTAACAGTTGATTTTTCTTTGAAAAATACTACGGTATGAAATAACTAAGTTTTCTGCTTGTGAAGCCTGACACTTGCTGCCTGAGTGGGCTTCTTTTCCCTTTCAGGTTAAGATTATGCAGTGACAATCAAAGCAGAACAGCTGGAGACACATTCATATGCAAGAGGAGAAATTACAGAGAGTTTCCTCAGTGAAATCCTCTTCTCTCCTGAATTTATCTGCTTCATTGCTTGTGTAACACAGCCCAAGTTTATTATATTTTAGGACACAAGGTCTATTTACTTCACTAGGCAATGGGATGGGGTTCAGAGGAATAATTATGTCAGAACAGTCCCATCTGAATCTCTAGAGTGCAGAGAAAAGTAATATACTCTTGAATGAATAAAAATAAATGTATCTTATTTAGTGAGCTTCATTTTGTGTAAGGGAAGACCTTTGATTTGCTCCTGAAGTGTCAAAATTTAGCAGTGTTTTTAGTTACTGTCTGAAGATGCCTACAAGTCCAAGGGAGAGCTTTTCTAGCTTAATATGCTGAAGCAAATAATTTTACTCTGCAAATCGTAATCATAATTAGTAGTCAGAGTAATGTTCATACCAAGTAATTTTTTTAGTACAATTTTATGAATACAGTAAATATACAATTAGTTTTCATAGGTAGAATATCTTGTCAGTGTACATCTCAAATAATGCACTGGAAACAAAACCAAATCAAATTGCCAAATGGTTCTGAAGTTTATTACAGCACAGTAAAATTTTCAGTTCATTAATCTTACTATATAGAACATTTGAGCCTATTGACTTTATAGCCTGACACATCAGGCTGTAATGAGTTTGCCATTAAATAGCTTTCTCTACGGATTCCTAATTAGGTTTTCTGAAATATGCTTAATAGAACACGCACATATACAGGCTATAAAGTCCACGTAGCTCAACATTCTGTCATCATTTCTCAAAAGTAACTGCACTCTACTCAACTACTGGAGATATTAATGATTTATACTGTGGTCGACCAATCTGTAGCTGATTCTTTCTGGTTTATAAATTAAAGTGCTGGCTTCTGTTTGTCGTCGTGACTGCAAACATCCATTTTCAGGAGTGATCCACAACAATGCAAGATGTCTTCACTGATTACGCAGTATTAGCTACTTCAGAGCCTGCTATACCGCCTTTCCTGTGCACACTACTTTTGTACTGGTACCACAAAAGTATTCCACTATTTTAATGCCTACTCAGTAACAAAAGATCTTTATGCAACTCTTTACAGCTAACTATTTTAGCTAGCTCTTACACTATTGCAAAATCATTACTGTTTTGTAATCCACAGACTACTACTTTACTAGTCAGTTGTTTTCCTGTATCTTTAGGGAATAAGCCAAGAAACATAAAATACAGAACAGAATTCTGTCTTGTGCTTTTTTAGTATGTTGGTATAGCAAATTAGTTTTGCCTACGACAAAGATTTCTGCCTTTAAACAAAAGGAGCTGCTAAACAAAAGGCAAATATTTTTCCAGCTAGTCCATTTTACACATAATAGCTAAATATACAGAAAAGACATTTACCAACATATTCAATTCATCTAAGGAAAACTTAAAATTCATTATACCATTGATAGAAGACTGCATACGTGATGACACATTGCAACAACGGATCAGTTGTGATACAACAGTGTACAGCTTCCCCAGTTCAGCATACTGGTATTTAATTGGAGGACCTGGGCCTTCATCCAGAGCCACAAGCATGAAGGTTGCAGGAACATTTAGTTTCAGCAACTGTGTCTTCTCTGCTACACCTTTACAGGGAAGGAAAAAGAAAAAAAGATACATCATCTTTCTGGCACCCATTTTTTTTTTTATTTTTTTTTTTTAAGAAAACAAACTTCCAGGATGAAGAAACAGACAAAATATTCCATAGGCAGCTAGGAAAAGCCTCGCGATCACTTCCCCTTGTACTTGTAGGGGACTTCAAGTTCCCGGATATCTGCTGGAAATATAACACAGCAGAGAGGGAACAGTCTCGGATGCTCCTGGTGTGTGTGGAAGACCACCTCCTGACACAGCTGGTGAA